ATATATGGTGAATATATTTAACCGCAACTAAATCAGCAAGGTTTACCTGTCGCAAATCCGCCGTCTTCACGCGCTCTCTGACCGCTCAGCCGGACACTTAACTAAAAATATTAACAGTGGTTGGCCGAGGCAGCGGTGCCACTCCGTCTGCCATGGCATGCCACTAACTTTGCACTTATTTATTTATTTTTTCTTCCTTTTAGTACTCATGCCCACTTTTCCTGCATTTATTTTCAGCGCTTTCCATGCGCTAGTTTCCGTAATAATTTTTTCAATTTCTCTTTCGTGTTAGTTTAGTGAAAACTCTTAATATTATTCCATTGCTTTAGTTAGTTGGCATTAAAGAAATGTTACAAGTTCTTCTTCTCAAGCTATAGCGCTTTTTTCACTACAAGATTTGCATAACTCGGCTACTATGGTTACCGTTTGCCCTACCTCAGATATTCCAACTGCAGAGTGCCATACCTAAGGCTTTAGGCATATTTCAGGACTATAAGACTATTTGTAGCAATCTGCTTTGCTTCCAGCAATTTGCGTCAAGCTTCTTTGATCATCGGAATTCGCCTGAGTTGTATTTATTGTCTGCGAGATCCTTCAAGCAACAATGTGAGTTAAAATGGAGAAATCTTGTTCAGCAAACATATCCCCATTGGTTTATGGTATATTATTCTGCTAGTAGAAAGCTTATTTTAGTTCAGGCAAACGTTAATACTTCGATCAATTACAATTGCGACTTTGACCGAATTGTGCCAATAAAAATGAGAATAGTAGAATATGTAATAGTAGAATATGTAATTCAATGACACTGAATACGGACTGATTGCAGTCAAAAATCTTCTTACAGAGGAAATTAATATAGTTTGAGTTTGCCTGCGAGACCAGTTTCCCCAAACTGCTAATAGAACTTACAGAATAGTCTAACAAATTAACTTGCAGAATATAGCTTACATAAAAACTGCTGTAGTGCAACTTTTGTATTAATTTAATATTTATCTCACGTAAAGTGAAATAGAGTGGTTATTACATATCTATATACGTTTGTATATATGCTCCTTATGAACTCTGAAACGGCTGGGCCGATTCCAATGAAATTTTCGGACGATCTTCAGAATTACCCAGTAAGTAATTTTCTAAAGTTTGGTGGATATCGGAAATTTTCTTCGATCGATAATTATACTTTAGCCACATCAATTCATGGCTGGGGTCTTTCAGTTTATTATAAATTTCTCAAATAAGACAGATATAGACCAAAAATATCTCTTAAAGAAATAACATAGACCATTAAAACTATCTTATCAAGCATTTTTGTCTCAAAGACTCCTTCAACAAACCTCTGAATCTTGGGATCTCACGATTGTCCAAAAAAGGAAGAATATTTGAAAAAACAGCAGCCAGAGGTCCAAAATTTAGCAAAAGTTATAAATTTCAAAACCTTTCCCTAAAGCTTTTTATAAGCGTTATATAAGAGAGTTCAAAAATCACAATTTCCAACGTTTGAACAGGGAGAGCCTCGGGTTGTAACGATTAAGAAAGGAGAAGAAAATAGTCGAATAATACAAAAATAAGTAAAAGAAGAACAAAAAAAATGGTGCAAAGGAATTCTATGCAAAAATATCTACTTTTTATAAAACTAGGTATTTACAATAAAGACTTAGTATAACTTTTCGCTATATGTATAATACATACTTATGACCTTAAAAAACTCCATTTAATATCATAACATTATACTTTGAACAGAATATTTCAAATTTTCCACGAAATTTATAACACCCAGAAGGAAGCGTCGAAGATCATATAAGGTATACATATATAATCGTATATATGATCTGCATGACGAGCTTAGTCGATCAAGCCAAGCCCGTCTGTCTAACCGTCTCTGTATAAACGAACTAGTCTTTCAGGTAAAGAGATATTGGTCTGAAATTTTGCCACGCCCTTTCTTCTTCTAGAAGCTCCTTATTGGTCAGAACCACCTACATTGAATGACCTATATTAAACCACTATAGAATATAGCTGTCATACAAAATGATCAGTTAAAATCAAGTCTTTTTATGGAAAACTTTTGACAAGATATCTTATCGCCATACCAATTGTACCATCGAAATTAAGGTAAAATTCTTGTTATACCTTTGGGGTTAAAGTTAACATTTTTCTGGTTTGTTTTCTAAGGCAAAATATTCATATTATATAAATATTAAACCGTCTTTATAAAACAAATCCCCCATTAGAAATAAGTTCATTTAAACTTCCCAACAAAGCCATATCTTATTAAAATTTTCAATCTAGCGGCCACATTAAGATTTACGCTAAAGTAGTTCTGCGACATTTCCAAAAGCAGCCACACAGCATCAAAGTGAACGGTACTTCTAACTCAATCATAGTTTTATTCACCTTAGTAATGGAGCTCTTGAACGCATTTCTCGTCAGCAGAGACAATTATGTCGCCAGAATCCCACTTTCATTACCCGTTCTTAGCGACTTTGCATTAAGCGCTTGCCTTTGTCGGCAAGTGTGAGAAAGTGTGCGAGAAGCTGCTTAGTTTAATGCGCTCAAAGGTGACCTTGTCGCGATTACAGAGCGCGAGAACGCTTCGTTGCAATACATTTGTCTTACCAACAACAGCGGACACGACATTCAACGGCAGCGCACAACTTCTTGGTCATCTTCTGGTCAATGCTTTTGCCTTAACCTCTTCTCCTCTCTCTCCGCCACTCTTTTTTTTTTGCGCACAGCGCTCATTGTGCATTTTTAATTAAATTACATTTTGCGGTTCTTCTTTACATTTCTTTTTCATTGCTGTTTTCAAAAACATTCTCGCACGTTCTATTTTGATTTGGCCCGCGCTCTCCGCCAAACAACCACTTTCTTGGACCGCGTACGCCCTTTAAGCGAGTTTGAATTTATGTGCGTAACTGTGAACGGCGAAGGGTGTGTTTGCACATTAGCGTGTCAGCCTGATATCGCTTTTTCGCGGCAGTAAAACTTTAAAATGCAAATGCAAATATTTTGTGAAATAACACCAGAAATGCATTTAATTTGCATGACTCAGCATTTATCGTGAATTATCTACTTCATTCTCTTTCATTCCCTCTCTTATTGCATTTCTTGCTCTGACCTGCAGTTGTTTTTGTTATTATCATTGCTGTTGTAGCTTCATCTCGCATTGGTTTAACGCAGTTTGCACCCGCAACAGCTGCAACGTATTATCACGCTAACCTGGGCTCGCGCCGCACCCTCCATTCAACACCGTGGCCATCATTCACCGTTCTTTATTTTCTTATTCTCTTTCTTGGACTTGTCTCAAACCCTAGCAGAAAATGCATTAAGTTGCACAGGTGCTCTGACTTTTTGCATTAACTACCGCAGCTCTTCAGCACTCTAAATACAAGTATCGCCAGCTACCGCGCCATAATGTACGCTAAGCTAAATGAGTGGGTCCGTGCGCGCCGCGAAATATGCAACAAATAATTGCATGCCGCTTTGTCGAATTTAATTAAAAAGTGTTTGCTGTGGAATTTCCAGTCTAATTTTCTATTCGTTTTTCTTGAGTCTTAATCGTTTTTTACCCTTTGCATAATTCTAGTCGCTGTTCACTGCTGGGTACTGTTTTATTGAATTTTTAGTAGTCGAAATTATGTATTAAGTCAATCTTCTGAAACAGTTCATTCATTTAGAAGTGAAATGCAAAGTGTAAAAGAATGTTAGTCAGTCCGTTTAAATTGCAAAGATTTAATTAAAATATTTCTAAACTTCTACAAATTTCCGTTATATATAGCTAAACACAAAAAATGACGTTGCCATCCAAAGTTTTGAATCATTTGAATCCCTAAATTTATGAACCGTGTGCAAGTACCTAGAAGAAGTATAAGAGATATATGACTCTATATTATATGTTTGTAGACGAAGTACTTAACTTAACAACTATACCCGAAGTTCACAAACGGATTGTTATCTGTAGAAAGTCCTCATTGGATTTTCAGAATAATATCATGTCTTCAAGTACCTTTTTTGCTTTCACATTTGGCTATTTTGATGTTAAAATATACTTTTATATGTTTTCTCATCCGTTCATTACAGTATTGAATTATCATTTTAGCCGGAAAACAAAAAAAAACTACATTTTCACGTATTTTAATGAAAACTTTTAATTATCTCCCTTAAATAATATCCTGCGTCTATACAAGCGTGCCGATACTTAATGCAATTTTTCATACATTTTTATAAGCATCGGTTGGGATGTCTTTCGGTGCCTACAGCGAATTTTGGTTTTCTCGGTTTCGGCACTGGAACCCACGTCACTGGTCATCAGTAATGGTGCGTATCATGAATGTACGGTATTCAGCAAAGTTGACAAGCATCTCTTTTGCGACCTCTACTCGACATCGTTTTTGCAAAAGATTCAGGTCTTTTGGTACAAGTCCAACATTGCCACGCTTCCTACGCAAAATGTGTTGAGTTAATGCAAAAGAGATATTGAGATCCTCTGTTATCTCTCTGATGCTAACATGACGCCCTTTAAATAAAACTTCTTTAAATTTTTCGATGTTGTCGTCATTAGCAGAGGAACGACTCGGATGAAGCAAGTTTTTCTGTATATCGAGAGAGGGAGTGTATCTCGATTTATTAGGCTAAAGAGTTCGCTGATAAAATTAAGTAAAATTGGCCAAATTTTTCAACCTATAGTCAACTAACTTTACAACCAACATATTGTTTAAAATATGAGATAATAAAGTCCCCAATACAAAAAAAAAATGGAAATCAGAGTGGTATAACCTCTTAAACCAGCGAGCAATGATATGTAGCGCAGTATATTTGATACAAGGAACTACATGAAGATTATATTAATATGGAGGTGTTTGTGGAATATTTATACGGCAATCCCCATGTATCGTGAGAAATTTAGATTTCGCTAAATAATTTTCGCAAGTTTAAGTAATATACCAATTTTATACATTTATTTATTATTTGTTTAATATTAACTTATATATTATACTTAGTTTCTTACACAAATCTTATACGGTACTACTTATATACTCGTACAATCCTTATATATAACTAAAATTGTATACTAAATTACCCAAAATATTACCCCGGCAGTCAGCAAGGTCTCCCTTCCAGCAACTCGTCCAAACCGCACCGCATTATTCGATAGTTAATTTCATTGTAATTAATTTTGCCGGTGAATGCGTTTTGCAAACGATTTGATAGCATCCAAACTTCTTCCTTACCCAAAGGATTTCTTATCACCTTCAGACCACCTATAAATTGTAACTTAACGGGATTCTCAGCCAGCAAAAAACGCGTTTGGAACGTGTAAGGTGTACGTATGTTCCAGCCGAAAAGCCCGACAGGCTTGTAATGGCCACACAAGAGCACACCACTTGAGGTCATCGCTGATGCCCCACATTGCACGCCACGTTTACCAAGCACACTGAAGTGCTCTATAGCTGATCCCAAATCAAAGTCCCAGAGTGTACTGTTGTTTATAATATCCAACGGTACCGCCACTTGTGCATCATTAGAGAAGGAGTGAAAGTAGAGCGAACGTCTTAAATCCAACCCCAACGGAGTTGTAGAAAGGCCAATTGCGCCCTCTAAAAGCTCAAAGCTTTCACCAGCTATAGTATGTGTGCTGAAATCCGGATCGGGATAGGTGAATTTATTTTCTATGCGCCAAGATCGGGCATTTTGCACATCATAAACAACAATACCGAAACCGGTGGCATCGGTCATATACACAAAGGTTTCTTTGCATTCACCGCTTGGCGGTGGATCCATCACATCTACATAAGGTGTAACAAAACGACTAATAGTGCTTTTATACATTTCTGAAGGTAAACGATAGCGATGCAGCAAGTGAGTTGTAGCCACGTCAATAACAACAATTTGTGGTGGACAGAACTGTTCGTTATTTATCTCACCGCTGTCAAGTATCCACATGCGACCACAAGCATCAATCTGTCATGAAAGAGAAGCTACAATATTTATTTATGTGATTGAAGAAGCTTCTGTAAGACGCACATGCACGCGACAAACGGAGGTGAGTCCATTACAGTCCTTGCCATGGGACCAATGCCAATCGTAACTGGGATATGGTTGCAGCTCGGTGCCGTTGGGGCGTTGCACATTTGTCAAATAGGCCAGTGAATAGGGTATACCTTTGCCAAAGCGCGGTATTGTGATGAAAATGATCGGCGAACCATTAGATGCTGAACGTGAAAATGAGAATGTGTTATGTTCTCACTTTACTTTACGTTTTTGTAAGCGAAGTCTCATACTCACTCGTATAAAATACATCTACGTCGATCGGTAGCGCACTATCGGGGTTGTAGCGGCCGTCGCGTATAGTTGCCTGTCGCTCGGTTGCGCTAGGGAAGCCAAATTCCAGATTTTTAGCTTCATATATTGTATTAAGTTCCTTATATCTATGAAATTGTTGCTGACTTAGTTGTACATACGCACCATTGTAGTTGTAGATGGTTGGACAGGCACAAAAATTGACAAAGACCAAAATTATATATAACTGAATGAAGTGCCTGATTTTAAACAAATTTAAACAAATTTAATATCTGCTTCAAGTTTTTTTTACACTTACAATACATGTACAATATGTGGCGGGAGATTAGCATGAAATATGTGAATCAAAAACTTATTTTTGTTAGAATTTATTAAGCATGCATCACGATATACATTGCAGCCGAACAAATATTTCTTGGATGTTAACTAAGATCTTTACTTCGTACCACAACTCGATATATAAAAATGGTTGCCAAGCTGTTTCACTACTTTTCAGAAATGATATGACACAATGTGAGGCGCTTTCTTTAGTTATATTGTCTTTTATCTAACAGAACTACGTTTTGAACTAATTGCTATGCGCTAATTGAATTTTAAAGCCACTACATTTATAAAATGTTCTGTAGTGTTCAAGACTTTTTAAACCTAACCAACCAGCCAATTCAACGGCAAAGCCGAATATCTATGGCGCGAAGGTAGTGCTCTGTATTTAGTGGAATCAAAAGGGCGTGCTGTATTATGAACTGCTAAAACCGAATGAAACTATGATTGAAAAACGCTACCTATAATAACAAATCAAATTGAAGCGAGCGATTGCCTAAAAGCTAAGTCTATTAGGAAAACAGTGCCTGGGAAGTTTTGCCTCACCCGCCTTATAGCCCACACCTTGCCCCTTCTGACTACCATTTGTTAGTCGTAAGCTTACTTAATAAGGAAAAAAGAACTTTATGAAGATCTTTATCTTAATTTTGATTGTTCAGTTTGTATGGATCGTTAAGATATTTTGTCAAATAAAAAAGTTTTCCATACTTGAACTTCACTTTGATCGATCAGTTTGTAAGGCAGCTTTATGTTATAGTTGTCCGATTACGGCGATTCCGACAAAAGTGCATAATTCGCGTATATACAGAGGGTCAGACAGACGGACCTGGCTAAATCTACTCAGCTCGCCACGCTGATCATTTATATATGTATTGTATATACTTTATGTTATAGGGTCTCCTACATTCTCTGATGGGTTTCACTATCTGCTTGACAAAATAATTAGTATTTTAAGTTTTCTATTATTGCATCACTCACATTTTGCACAAAAATAAATCTTTTTTCACTTCTACTAGTAAACAAATAAAATTAATAAGAAAATATGTTAGCGTATAAAACTCGCACCAGGCGTGGCTAAACAGTAAAACCGAACTGAATGTAATATTTCACTAATTTGTGTTCGCAGCCGATGATCTTGTAAGGGTACTTGGTAGGTTTGATTTACTTTCATTTACTTTACATTACGCTTTTTGGTATATTCACCGACCAATCTAATTTAATTTTTTTTTTCAACGCTAAAGTGTGAGATTAGATATATACATACATACCATAAGTGTGTAGGTACAAACATAGATACATACTTGTATGTGTGTATTCATAATTATATTGAGGCTAATTTCGACAACTGGTTTCCAGACTTGTGACGGTGTCGAATGAACATCTGGTAAATAATAATGCATTTAGCTGAATTCAAGCCAAACAATTCAGATTTTATGGGGCGAATGACTGCAATAACTGTTTCTAATGCTATTGTTGTTGGTGTAAATTGTTTGCGTATAGACTTTCAAATATTTGTAGTATCAGTATCAGACCTTTAAACAATCAATACGGCATATTTTTCATTGAAAATTTTTATATAAAAAATTATCGAAAAAGTGTGCGCTCTTTGTAACGGCAGATTATGAGCGCTCACATGGCGATATTTTTTCTTTACAACTGCTGCTAGGCTGGTGGCGCAGCAAAAACACATTGCTGACTGCACATGGTCATATGTTTGATCATGTTTTTAGTATTTTTTTTTTTTACCCGCCTCAATGAACGCAAACCGTAAATATTTCAACTTTCAGCGCATTTATGGATATTTTCGTTGATATTGTGCTTTTACTGTTATACAAAAACAATACATTATTAATTTATAACCTGCAATTTGTAATTTCGCCAACATTTAGCCAAAAATTAAATGCGTATTAAGCGGCAACAACCAAAAACACCGCGAAATGATATGAAAAAGCGCGCGCACACAAATATTCAGAGAAAAAGTGAGAGAAAGCAAAGTGCAGTGGTATTTATGTAAATGGGCTTCATATGAGATTTTAAAAACTGTTGAAATAATATTTTCATATTTTAAGATCATATATTTTACGCTATTGCACGTGTGCATGTGGAGCAAAATCTCATTTGATGCAATTTTTTTGTAAAAAATAATAAACCGAAAATGCTGCTGGTCGCCGTAGCTGTTGTTATTATAGTTGTTGCTGTTTTTATTATTTTTGTTGTAATAAACTGAAACTATTGCCAACTTTACCGCTGTTGTTATTATTGTTGCTTTTGTTATAGTGGTTACTTATTGTTATTATTTTTGTTGTAGTAAACAGAAAATGTTGCTGGTCGCTGACGCTGCTATTGCTAATATTTTTGTTGTTGCTGTTATTATTGTTGTTGGTTTTTATGTTTTGCTGTTGTTATAATGTATACATACACATGCAACACGTGAATAATTTCGCAAATATGAGCAAATTATTCTATGCATATGCAAGAACTCAAATGCATAATCCACACACACACATATGTATGTACCAGGTACATAAAGCTTTAATCTGACTCAACACACACACACACACACATATGCGCACTTACACTGTTGTGTGACGCACACCAAACCCTTTTGTGGCAATTAATGCACTTTTGTTTATTTACATTACGCACCGTAAACAATAAAAGTTGCAACAATGATACCAATAGCCACGACAAAAACAACAACTACAACCACAACAATAAAAGCGACAAATAAAACTTGTATAACAACAATAAAATTACAATAAATTACAATACGTTGCATTTTAATGTCGATGTTGCATGCAATTTGCAACGAGCTCGCATTGTTTGCACTCTATCATTTTGTGTTTTGTCGGCAACATTGTTGCACATAAGAATCGAAAATGATGCATAGTTGACAAATAATAACAACAAATGTAATAATAGCATTAATACCGAAATAACTGTCGGTTTGAGGCGTATGCCACACTTAACGGTGCACAAATTTATAAGTGGCATATAGGAATATCTGTGTTGTACACACATTTGCATTGGCACTACTTGATGTAAGTGCTGCTAGCAGCAAGTTTACAACAATAACAAGAGAAGTTGCAACTTTGTGTGGAAGTATGTGTATGTATTTATGTTCGCCTGCAACAATCGTGTTTACTGGACATTTTTGCTGCAACCGCAGGTATTATGGAAGTTCATGTTTGCCAGCAATTAAAATGTGTGACGCATTCGAACCACTCTAAGTGCCGTTTCACATTGGGATTCAAAAGAGTCTGATGTTTTTCAAAATTCCTTTTGGTGTCGCTCTGGGCATTCACACGGTCAAAAAGAGTCCAGCAACTCGTGTCTAGTTTTTCTGCATTCCTTTTCACAAAATTTTCGTAAATATTTGTGCGGTTCGACTGCGCAACACTGCGTGCTGCGTATTTCATTTGTATGTTGAGACGATTGTCACACATTTTGCTTGCAATGAATTATCATGAATATGGTAGAACAATATGCATAATACAAGTACCTACCCGCTAAATAGTTTCAAAGAAATACTAAAGATGGGAATTTTCTAATCCACAAAAATGTATTAAATATCCGCTACTAATAAAAGTACTTTAAGTATTAAAAACTCATAATTTCTTTACTCCGTATTAAAAATTCATAATTTCTTTACTCCATAATCTATATCTTAATTTTCTCCTTATTTACAATTTGTCATAATATTTCTATTATTCTATGCATACGTATTTGCATATTACATACAAAAATAGATAACAGAACTCAATTCAAAAAAACATCAAGGAATGATGAAAAGGGTAGCAGCGAGCTGTTACGAACAAGAACACAAAGCGTGCCACCCGAACACGAGTGGCACGGTCCCTTCGTCTTTCCTCGTCGTCCCCTCACCCACAATAAACTGGTATGAGACTCTTTTGCGTCCCAATGTGAAACGGCACTAAGGATCAAACAGCTTTGGTAAGGGCGCTGAGGAAAGTACAACCAATCCTCTGTCAGTATTTAAACTAATTTTGAAATCAGACTGAGACCAGGCCAACATATATATACATAGGTATATATGAATGAGTGTTGTTGTCAATTATACATCAGAGTGACTGGGATATTTGTCACGCTTTCGGTAGCAATGCCCAGTTTATTGAGATTTCGTCACACTTAGTGCTAATTCTGCTTAAAATATATTTTCAAGTATTAGAAAGCAACAAAAGCAAATTTTATATTGTTAAAATTATAATATTTCATTCCGATCTGAACAATTTCTCCGGAGATTCCATTACTGCCTTAGACAACAATCCATGCCACATTTTGTTAATATTTATATCTCGTCCAATGAAGAAGTTTTCCATTGCAATTGAAACTAAAAACTAAAACACGCTTTTAAACCTTTTCAAACTAAAAAGTGAAAAATAATTCTTAATATAAGCTTGCAGTAATATTGATCGAAAAATACTTGTGTTATTGTCATAAAAGTGTGTGCGATATACGAAAAATATGGCACAAACCATTGTTTAAACACAATCAGTAAATTTGTTACTCAAATAGCAGCATGGATAGCTTTTAGCTGCATAGTTTTAGGCGCATTTTTTTTGCAGTGCCTATCAAGCTGTTGATTTTTTTGTTCCAGTCTCATTCAGATTTGGAGCCACTGAACAAGAAAGTTACATACATATGTAGGTATGTATGTAACATACAAACATATAAAAAAACATATCAACATAATACATACATACACTTAAGTAGATACTTATAAAAAATGTGGCGAATGAATTCAACATTCATTGTTCGATGAAATCGTAAATGGATTACATTCAAATTTGTATCTTTTCGATTTATAACAATATTTTACTTCCCGCCAGCTAAAATGATAATAAAATCATCTTCAAATAAGATATACGTGATCTAAACTCAACTGAAGAGTCTAAATTTAGTATGTACTCAGTTATACTCGTGATTACTTTTCTATCAATTTTATAAATAAATAACTCAAATATAGTATATTCAATACGTACAGTACTATATGTTCAAATGTGATCGATGTATACAGTAAAAGGCCAAGCGAATGTTTGAAAATCTTAGGTCTTAGCATTGACCTAATTTCATTTTTTTTGAGATTATTATATTATATATTGTTACTAGAAACAGATGCCCTCTGAGTTTCATTAAGGTAACTCACATATCATCATCAATATATAGTAAAAGAAGTAAAGTCAATTAGATGTTTGAAAATCCTGATTTTAGTTATATGGGAGCTGAGCTAAATGTACACGCTAATTTATCCATTTTAGGCACAAATATGCACCATTATTAGAAGAGCATGCTCACTCAATTTTATTAAGATATATACATATACACACACATACGCCAATATATGCGATATAAAGTCACTCGGCAGTTCGAAAATATTTCTATAAGGTCTAAGGTCCCGATTCAACTCATTTTTGACTTATCATAATCAAGAAAGGATTTTCTCTGAATTTAAATTACATATCTCACACGTTGACCAATATTTTTGGTAAAAAGTCAGCAATAGGCTCTGGGGTCCACATCTTCGCTATGTGGGAGTTTGAACAGTTATGGTCAGTTATTTTGACAATTTTTAGGCTTGAGATGGCATACCTTAAGGCACTATTTGTTCTAAGTTTTATTCCGACATAATTATTGATGCTTGATTTGTCTGTTGGAAAGTGAAAGAATCACTTGGTATTTAAAGTTGTGTTATATGGGAAGTTGGCGTGGCTGCAGTTCGATTTCGCCCATTTTTGCACAATGACTTAGAATGGCTACGTCATTGTTATGTGCCGAATTTCGAAATGTGTGAAGTAGATCCAAAGATATATGATTTCACCGAAAGTTTGGCGCTGTCACGTCCATCAACCAATTTTGACACCGGCTACCGGCTGATCCTATAAAGCCCTTTCTTACCATCTCAGGTGTAAAATTTAATGTTTCTGACGCACTTAGTTATTGATTTATGGCTTTTTTAGTAGTGTTTAACAAAAAGGAGGTGCCTCTCACTAATGCGATTCTTTCGACCAACTGAGAGTCTCAAATCTTATTATAGGTTTTCGATTATAATATTTTTGAATATAGAAAAAGAGAAAACCCTTTGG